TGGCAGGGGAAAGAGTTTGATCCAGAATCAAAAATTTAAAACATAGATACCAAAAGATCAAAATGATGTTAAAAAAATAGTAGAGACTAGAAGAGTCAAAGTCATCTTACCTGTTTTTATTGAAAATGAGGTAAATTAGATTATGAGAAAAGCAACGTGGGAAAATCCAATAAAGAAGAATAGATGAAGTTCAAATTTAACTGGAGTAAGAATTTAAAATGTGATGTACTTGGATTCAAGGAAAAAAAAAAGAAGAAGAAAAGAAGCATTTAAATTGTCATGATCAAGAGAATAAACAAAATCAAAACTCAAATAAAAAGAACTTATTCACGACAATTTTTGAACAAATTCATCAAAATTAAAGAGACCAAAGTTATTTTTAATCATCATTGCCACATACGAAAGGAAGGAAAAAAAAAAGAAAAAGAAAAACATTTGGACTGTTCTGGTTAAAGAAGATAGAGAAAACCGAAATCCAAATAGGGAAGAATTATTGATAATAATTTTTACATAGATTACATAGAATTAAGAAGACCAAAACTGATTATAATGATTATTACCATTTAGCAAGGCTAAATAAAGATAGAACATGCTAGGCAAAAATAACTGCATTCATATATATGTAACTATAAAACAGATGAAAATAGATTCAATATGTCATTGCTATATGTTAACAAAACACATGAAATAATCATAACAAAAACAGGTTTTTCCCAACGGCATAACAAACAATAAAACTAATAGCAGCATCGCAAATTAATATATCCAATAACAACAAATATTAAGGCAATATGAGGAAGAGTCATGGACAGTATCTACAACGGTCTCAAAATTGCCTTAAGTAGAGAATATCAGCCACCCAAATCCACGCACAACAGACAAAATTTAAAAGACTGAAGAATAAGCAGGCAAAGATAAAATAGCACAGCCAAAAACCGAAAAGGGTTAGATCAAGTAAAAAAAGGGGAAAAAAAGAATATTTAGACAATTATAATAAAAAAACTACTAGCAAAATTAGAATTTAAAGATAGAATCCACATGAATAAGAAGTACATTCATAACAATTTTTAAATATGTTACATAGCAATAAGCACATATAAAACAATTGTAATAAGCATTGACATACACTAAAATCAATTAAACATGAGAAATATATTATGTAAAAATAAACCACTTATATACTATTATGAAATAAATTAAGAATACAAAAGAAGAAAACTATAGATCATTAAGATTTTTGGGTTGTTTGGTTAGGAGATTCGTCCCCTGATTCGAATCATAGTTCGTGGTTCGCTACGTTATTTTCTCTCACAAAAAATACACGTAAATCGAAAATGATTCTAATAACATGGTTCTAATCCATGAACCAAACGTCCTCTTATTGATAATGAATAGGAATTAACTTTTTTAAACACTATAGGAAATAACACATAGTATTAATAATTGAACAAACCAACACACTTAGCATTGACAAAGAATAATAAAAACATCAAGACAGAAATCTTTAAGGCTCCGTTTATTTCACCGATTTGAGTTTAGAATTCGAGTTTTGTTATAGTAAAAAGCTCTCAGAAACAGTCACATCTAACTTTTTTACTACAGTAAAAAGCTCTCACATAAAACCACATATCAACTCAAATTAAAAACTCAAATCAGCGAACTAAACGGGTCCTAATAGTAAGTACCTAAGATATTGTGAGCACTGCCTTAAGTAACCAATGCCATCGAGGAAGGAAAAAGACAGAACTAAGACAATAGAGCAGTAAATTGGACAAGGTAAAGAAAGGTAGTAAATGACCAACACTGAAATAGAAAGGACACGATATCAGGTCTAAGCGAAGAAAGGGCAGAGAAGTTAGACAATAAATTAACCTACGCCAATAGTATTTGCACATATATAAAGACTAAGATGACCAATGAGAATATCACATCTAATACAATTAAGTCCGTGGACAAATACTGAGCAAGGGGTAAAAAAAAAAAAAAAAAGAGGGAAAAAAAAATGCGAGAAACAAAAATAGGAAGGAAAAAATCAAAGCATAATCAATCGAGAGAAATAGGGAGAATATACTGCATATATTATGCACAGTAAAAGTGAAAAAAATCCCTAGCTCATTTAATATCTTTACAACGGTAAGGTTACAAATAATCAAGAAAAAGTACAAAGCGAGATCATAGGAATCACAGATCAGCATTACAAATCATGTAACCATTAAATGCAAAAAAAAAAAGAAAAAATGATTCAGGAACAATTTGCACCGAGAAAGAGAAAGGGGGCATTTACCTACAAAAATCAGCCTTGTGGAAATCCAAACATACGTGTCTAAATCCCTCTGTGGACAAACAAACTGCTGCAAAGAGAAGAGCAGTGCAGAAGAAATCGACAATCATTAGTGAAGAAAAAAATTTCCAAAATAAAAATAAAATAAAATTTAAGTAGTTGAAGAAATTTCCAGAATATTCACACCGGTGAGAAGGGAAAAAGGGCCCATACAAATTTCTGAATCAAAAGAGCAAAACAGAAACAGCAGAGGTTTGATAAAAAGGGAGGGAATAAAATGTACATAACACAAAATATGCATTCCAGAACATTCACTCTGGTAAGAACACAGAAAAAAAAAAAAAAAAAAAATGCAAATCCGCAGATCAAAAGAGCACAAAAAAAAAAGCACCAAAGAATGGCCGAAGAGAACAGGGGAGAGAAGAAAGGAAACCCACAATAAGCCATGCAAATTCGCAGATCAAAAGAGCACGAAAAAAAAAAAACAAAAAAAAACAAAGAATGGCCGAAAAGAACAGGGAAGAGAAGAAAGGAAACCCACAATAAGTCATAGCATTATTTCTAATGACAACAGTAGAAGATGATCAGCAGACAATCAAAGGAACGAAGAAACAAAAAATAGCCGAAGAGAAGAGGGAAATGAAGAAAGGGAACGGGGGGAAAAAAATCACCGAAAACCCACAATAATCAGTAGCAAAATCGCTAATGACAACAGCACAAAATAATCAAGAAAGAATCAAAGGAACAAAAAATGGAGGCCAAATTTTTAACAGGAAGAAAAATGGAAGAGGCTGCGCTCGAGAAAAAGAGAGAGCAGAAATAAATCTCCTAACTAATCAACCTCTAAGAGAAAAAAAAGAAAAAGTCCGAGGATAAATAAGGGAAAAAAAACTTTTACGCTATTGTGAGTGGGTGAACAGTTTAAACCCCCTTCCTTTAATATATCTAATAATTTTGTTGTCACTTTTTTTTTTTTTTTGTCTAAATGAGTTTTTTTTTTTTTAACCAAGATATTATTTTGGTAAAGCCGACAAGAGGATGTGAAACCAGTCGTGCTTCCTAGGAAACAAACGAAGAACGAGTTTAGCAACTGTTTGACTTCCCTCTGAAGCTTCTTTTCTTCTGGTTTTAAGGTTTCTTCGTCGCGTAGACTTCCTTTTTTTTTATTTTTTATTTTATTTTTCGTCTCTTCGGGTCTAGTTTTAAGTCTCCGCCATTATAAAGATTCGATCAGAATACTATTTGTTTGGGACAAAAACACAGATATCAAAGCAAAGGAGGTCCAAAACTTGGAGATGGGTCTTGCGGGGTTTCTTCTATTTTTCGTCAAATATTGCGTCGATGTTCTTGCATGGTATGCTTTCAATTTTAATCATTTTTGTTTTTTGTTTTTTTTTTTTTTTTAACTTTTCGGTCTAACACATTCTTCTTTTTTTATTTACTTAATTTATGTTTTCTGGCTTTAAATGCAGGCCTCTTCTTGCCCTGACGTATCCTTTGTAAGCTTCCTTATCACTCTCACTTTCTTTTGTTTAACTTACCCAATCTAACAATTTTCTATTATTTTCACGTATTTTGTTTTTATTGATTTACAACTTTACTTTTTATTATGATTATTTTTTTTATTAATTTTCCTGTCTAGCAATGAGTTTATTATTTTCTTTTTTAATTTTTCCTGTCTAGCAATGAGTACATTTAAATTGATTTACCACAGTTACCAACAGTCGTGATCAGAGAAATATAATTTTTCTACTTGTTTATATTTATATATATACAGATGTGCTTCCGTAAGAGCGATTGAGACAAATTCTGTTTTGGACACTCAAAAATTGAGTACTTACTGGGTTGTCTTCTCTTTGATTTTGCTTCTTGAACACACTTTATCTCTATTAGAATGGTAATTCTACTATACATATTTGTTTTTCATGATAATTAAATAGTTTTACCTCATATTTTTTGATATTAACAATTCGAGAGTTTTATTACAAGGTCTCCTTATGCTTATCTAGTAGAAAAGGGTATATTTTGTTCTGGTTCATTTTCTTGTCTCTCGCAGTCACTAAATATGCAATTCTTGACATGTCAGGTTTCCATTCTGGCCTTATCTTAGGCTAATTATCGTCTGCTTGCTGGAAATTCCTTATTTTGATGGTGCTTTTTATGTCTATAAACAAATTATGTGTTCATTGTTCTCAATGGACTTCCAAAGTATCATAAACTGGTTCACCATCAAACCAAAGGAGTCCTCCGTCGAAAAGGAGAAAATTCTAGCCGAGGTGGAGAAATATGTGAGGGAGAATGGGACTGAAGCTCTTGAGAAAATCATTGCTCCCAAGGTAAGTCGAAAAGTTGGTAGAGAAAATATTTGATTTCAAAATGTTATATGACTCTTAATACTTCAAATTGGATCATTTCTACATGAATAATTTCTTTATACGACTACTTGTGGGGCCATTTATATTGACGACATGTTTGTAACATATGTGAATTGGGAAAATGTCATTTTTTTCGATTGAATTTTTGTTTTGGACCTTGATTTTTGTTCAGCCACTTAGACCATCTTCAATGCAAATGTTAATGTAAATTGTATATTTGGCATCATAAAGTGTGATAATGGTATATTTGACATGTTATCTTTATTTGTGTTTTAAAGTATGATGCTATGTCAACTGCCAAATCTACTTTTTACCATAAACATTAAGCTTTGGAAGTTGTAAAAATAAATTAATTTTAAAATAATTTAAAAATGCAAATGTTGCAATGATTAAATGAAAAATTGAATACATCTACAACAGAAATCAAATGCCAAATTTGTCATACGCTTAGTAGCAAATTTACCACCACAAGTATAGCATATGGAAAGTTTGGCACAATAAATGACACTGCATTAGAGAGTGTTTTTTACATTCAAGTGTTAAATTTACCATTAGCACATCAATTATGAGTATTGCGTTGGGGATACTTTTAGTAATGTAAATTCTGTCTTACTTTCGGTTGCTTTAGTCTGGTAGCTCAAAGAATATTGAGGTCAGAGATATTCAAGCGCTTTCAGTTTCTTCTACAGACAATGGACGGGTGAATCAAGTAAGTTATATGATGCGTCTTGCCATATATTCAGAGAGTTAGCCATCATTAGCTTTGGTTCGATGGAAATTAAAATGCCGAGGGAGTTGGAACTCGGAACAATGTTAATTATAAAACAACTAACTGATTGAAGTGGGCACATTGAGTTCTTTCTGTAGTCTTTCATTTGCGAAACAAAATCGTTTCTCCATGCATGATTTTGGAGAAATTAATGAAAGATGAATAGACTTCCCGATGAACTAATATGACCGTGTTTCAATTACTTCAGCCAAACTCTAAGGAGCCCCATGAAGCGAGGAAAGATATCAAAGCTGTGGTGGAGATAATTGAGAAGAATCAAGTGAAAGAAACTTCGCAGGTAATGCTTGAACGATGTTTTCTTAGTTTATTTCTGCCCTTTTTTCTTCTTTCATTTTCTGTAAGGAAAATTTTAGTAACTTGAATTAGGAAACAAACTTGTTTCTTCTTCTTCTTCTTCTTCTTCATTACTTCAGCCAAACTCTAAGGAGCCCCATGAAGCGAGGAAAGATATCAAAGCTGTGGTGGAGTTAATTGAGAAGAATCAAGTGAAAGAAACTACGCAGGTAATGCTTGAACGATGTTTTCTTAGTTTATTTCTGCCCTTTTTTCTTCTTTCATTTTCTGTAAGGAAAATTTAGTAACTTGAATTAGGAAACAAACTTGTTTCTTCTTCAAGTGGGCACATTGAGTTCTTTCTGTAGTCTTTCATTTGCGAAACAAAATCGTTTCTCCATGCATGATTTTGGAGAAATTAATGAAAGATGAATAGACTTCCTGATGAACTAATATGACCGTGTTTCAATTACTTCAGCCAAACTCTAAGGAGCCTCATGAAGTGAGGAAAGATATCAAAGCTGTGGTGGAGGTAATTGAGAAGAATCAAGTGAAAGAAACTACGCAGGTAATGCTTGAACGATGTTTTCTTAGTTTATTTCTGCCCTTTTTTCTTCTTTCATTTTCTGTAAGGAAAATTTTAGTAACTTGAATTAGGAAACAAACTTGTTTCTTCTTCTTCTTCTTCTTCATTACTTCAGCCAAACTCTAAGGAGCCCCATGAAGCGAGGAAAGATATCAAAGCTGTGGTGGAGGTAATTGAGAAGAATCAAGTGAAAGAAACTTCGCAGGTAATGCTTGAACGATGTTTTCTTAGTTTATTTCTGCCCTTTTTTCTTCTTTCATTTTCTGTAAGGAAAATTTTAGTAACTTGAATTAGGAAACAAACTTGTTTCTTCTTCTTCTTCTTCTTCTTCTTCTTCTTCTTCTTCTTCTTCTCTTGATCGATCTTAGTTTATTTCTTTGCTTTTTTCATCTTTTATTTTCTGTGAGGAAAATTTTAGGGCCCATTCTTTTCACGATTCAAATCTTATAAACGTATTTGGATTTGGCACTATTTGGCTAATTCAAATTCAGATTTAACTCAAATCTTTTTTCAAGTTTTGCTACCAAACACGAATTTGAGTGAAAAACATAACTCGAGTTGAAATTTCAACTCAAGTTGACGGCAAATGCAGAGGCCCTAAGTAACTTGAATAAGGAAACGAACTGGTTTCTTCTTATTTCTGCACTTTTTTCTTCTTTTTCTGTAAGGAAAATTTAGTAACTTGAATAAGGAAAATCTTCTTCTTCTTCTTCTTCTTGAAAAATTGTGATGATTGGAAATTACAGGTTTGTACTATTTAGAAACACATTTGGTTAGTGTGGTCAATTAGTGAAAGTGGCAATTGGACGCAGCCAACGTGTTCATTTCTACTTGAAAGGAAGATCATATGTTCTTGCTTGTTTTTAGGAAATTAGCCAAAGTGATAAGTGAATGTAGAATTTGTGACATGTCAGTTGCTTCGCTAGTCTTCCTTATCTTTTTCATTATACCACTCAAGTCACTCCTCATCACATAATATTGTAGGCTTTCCATTTTTTATTCATCAACTCCCAAAAGTCGACTATTCTACGCTTTTTCATGATTGTGATAAAAATGATAAAACTGAAGTTTTCGTTATAAATTGCCTTTTTGCAATGTATTTGTAGGTTAACAGAGGAGAGCCTCAGCTCACTCAGACTAAGAACAAAACTGCCTTACCTACGGAGACTAGAGAAAAAGTTTCCGAAGTTCAAGCAGGAAGAGAGCTTCCTGAGACTCCTGTTTCTAGAATAGTCCAGAAAGAATGGACTTGTGCTATATGCCAAGTAACAACCGAAAGCGAGGCGGATTTCATTTCACACCTCAGTGATAAAAAACACAAGGGTATTATGAACGAGGCAGCGAATGCGAAGAACCAGCCAGTTTTCCCTGAGGTTGCCCCATCTTATAGTCCAGAGAAATATGCTCATCCAGCTGAGGAGGATCCAGGAAAGAGTTCAGACGACCAGACGGTCTTTCCCAAGGTTGTCTTCTCTCCAAAGATATCTGGTCAGTCCACAGGTGTGCCACTGCCAGGAATCATTTTCAATGCATCGAGCAACAGGTGGGAACCAGGAGTAATCACGAGTGAAAAGCTTCAAGGCAAGGAGAAGAACGCTGTTCCGGCTTCAAGTACTAGTAAATCCAATGAATGTAAACAAGAGACAAAAACGAGTCTATCGAATAGTGAAATGAAACAGAAAAGTGGCATAAAGCATGAGGAGAAGGGGCATGGAAAAAAAGCAATGAAGCAAAAGACTGGAACAGTTGGGGTGAAAGATTTGTCTCTGTGGTGCAGGGTGTGCAATATATGGTGCCCTAGTAAGGTTCACATGAAAGCTCATCTTAGAGGGAAAAAGCACTTGAATGAGGTTCAATTGTTGGCTGAAAAGTAGGTCGCATTAAACATCTGCAAATAGTTGAATTTGCTATAAAACTGTTTTATACAATTCTGATTTAAACTCAAAGGCATTGTTCCAAAATCAGGAAAGTGAATTGAGTTAAGGTGATTTCTTTTTTATGATTTTTTTACTTTTTTTGGAGCATTAAAACCTATATAACCTTAAGTCTCAGGAAAAGTTGGAGAAATCATGGTAGCTCAGAGTGGAAGTGGCAGAATCCTTGTTGCATCTTCAATCTTCTTGCATTTTTGCTTGTTAGATAATGCTCCATTCGGAGTACATAATTAAGATTGTCCTGAGGTAATTTATCCTTTATTTTTGTTCTCGTAGAACACATGAGAAAAGTTGAATGTTAAGGTGAAACAAACGGGAGCTTTATCTTTTATTTTTAACAAAATGAAAATCGATTCAAGCAATCATATATAAGAAAAAGGCTAAAAAATGAAAATCGATTCAAGCAATCATATATAAGAAGAAAGTATATCAAGGTATTTTTTTAAGTCTTATTCATTTCACCTGTTTGAGTTTTAAGTTTTACGCTTCTATAGTTAAAAATTTGTAAAAAATGTCGTATTTAATTTTTTATGTTACAGTTAAAAATTCTCAAAAAATATTATAGTTGAATTTAAAATGAAAACTCAAATATGTGAAGCGAACGAAATTTTATTCTTTTTGTATCAACTTGAAGAGGGAAAAAAAAAAAGGTAAACCTTGGGTAATAGAACCACTTAACTCTTGTAAAAAAGAGGCAGGGGCGTGGGTATTAGTGCAAGGATTACGGAATCTACTTTTGTTTATTTGCAGAGAAAAGAAAATAAGTAAATTAGTGGAAGACTCCAAATCTACTATATATATACACACGCGCGCGCGCACACACACTAGTGAGTGTGGCACGTGCTGATTAGTAACAATCTTAATGTAGAAAATGATTATGTGAATATCAAATTTGAAAATGTTAAGGGAAAAAAAAGTTGGAATTTTATAGATGTAAAATAACAGTTACATTGTATAACTTCTCACATCGAGAAAAAAAAATGCTTACAGTTGATTTATCTTTTTTTTTTTAACATGGGACTATGATTTTTCTAAGAAAAATAAAATGTCAAAACTCGTTAAATATTTGTTAACATCCCAATTACATTATTCACTTTAAAACTAAAATATTTGAAGGACACGATAATCATAGTTCTCAAAAGAATATAATAGTGGAACATTCTCTTTTCAATTGCTAGTTAACTAAGGTGCTAAAAATAATTTGTTTTAAATAGATATATTTGAGAGAAGCAGCTTAGATTATAAAGATAAAAAAGAAAGAAGAACGTTATGGGAGTAAGAAGAAAAAGCAAAGAGGTGGCTTCACATGCGATCACAAGAAGTTTTAAATTTTGATGATAAAGTTACATGTTTGGAAAAAAAAAAAAATGGATTGAAATTTGAAATATTTGATGAGTTATATTTTACATAGAAAATTTTTTCTTATCGTGAAAAAGTAATAAGAAATGTGAATAAAACTTGTCATGTTATTACTAAATATTTAGTATAAGTTGCATGTTTTACTAAAATTAATTAAGAATATTATTTTGCTTGTAATTAAAAATTTAGTTTATTAATTTGCAATATCTTAATAATATACTTATAGATCTATATTTAACGTCTTAGTCATACGGAATAGAATTATCATTAACTAATTTTCATTGTAATTTATTATAAGAAGAAAAACATATACAATTGTTCAGATTTTTTTTTCTTTTTTTTATTGTACACTTTTAATTAATTTTAGTGCTATTGAATTATCAATTCAGTAATTTTATTTACGTAACCATTACTCTCTGTAATTTATTTTCTCTCTCATTCATTATGTCTATATAATTCTAAAAGAGTACATTACGAATTCATACTTCCCATAAAGGAAGTTATCCAACATGCACTAATAATACTCATCTAAAAATAAAGAAGCACAAAATGAAAGGTAATCAAACATAGCACACGCAAAGAAAAAGAAAAAAAATATATTTTAAGAAAAAAAATAAAAAAAAAATGTAATTATGTTGATAATAAGAAAAACTATTAAAAGAATACAAGAAATCAAAAAGAAAAGCGAATGTTTAAAGAAGAAAGAAAAACACAAATAACAACAAGACAAATTGTACTCATAAGAAATGCTGAAGTCACTCTCATCTTATTACTCTCTTGCTTTTCTTTTTGACGTGTCATTTCACTTCCATAGACAAATAAAGCATAATTGTAAACCGCTATTTAACGTCATAATTACTATTATGCCACACGTTAATATTACATTACTCACTTTTTTATTTCTATTGTATCTATTTTCCTTTTTTTGAAATGTTTTTTTCTTTTTTGTTCTTCTTTAAATACTGTTGGACTTGAACCGATTTTTAAAAGAATATGCATAACGTGCAATAAAGGTTAAAAATATAACCTTTATACATATACATATATAATATATTATCCAATTATTATATATATAAGTATATAGCGTTGTATTACTATAATTATACACTATATATATGTATATATAACATAATGATCCTAACAGAATATATATTTTTCTAAGTGGGTTTTAAGTTCTATAGGGATCTAAAAAGCACGATAAAATCCATTAAAAAAAAAAAAAAAAAAGTAACAGTGTGTGTATATGATGTGTAAAGAAAAGGTCTTTTCTAAGATTGCCCAACGATTTTTAAAAAATACACAATGTTGATGAATGTCTATATAATAAAAACATTATATAATACAAACTGTGTAACAGTGTGTATACAATACATAGTAACAGTTTGTATGTAATACATTACTATGTCTACAATTTTACTATTTATTAACAGTTTGTATTATGTGTAAAGAAAAGTTTTTATAATGTCTATATAATCCAACTATTCACAAACAATGTTGATGAATATTTCTAAAAAAAAAGTAACCAACCATATTTAAAGAGGAAAAATCAAAAAAGAAAAGGACAAAAAAAAAGCATTCAACATATTTATAAAATAATACAAAAGTAAGAAATATTATAATGGAAATTTTGTTATATTAGAAAGTCGCAAAATTATAATAAGAAGGCAAAACAATGATCTATAATTATGTTTTATTTTATCTAGGAAGTGAAATGGCATGTGTCAAAAGAAGAAGTAAGAGAGTAAAAAAGAGAACGATAAAATGAGTGATCCAAACATTTTTCTTGCGCGTATAGATACAGTAAGGTTAACAAAAATATGTCCAGGCTTCATTAAAAAAAGGAAAAAAATGTCCGATCCCAAGTTTTTATTTTTATTTTATTTTTACTTTTTTTTCTTTTGGTTTTTTTTTTTTTTGCTCATTTTTTAATCTTTTTTTCTTTCTTTCCTTTTACATTGTTTTTTTCCTTTTTTTTCTTTGGCTTTATTTGTCTATTATAGTTTGTTACTCTAACCACGTAAATCTCTATTTCTTTTTAACTCTATTATTTTCGTGTTTTATCTTTTTTTTATTTTTAAACTCAATTTGTTGTATTTTACAAGTGATTTTCTACCTTTTTTTTTTCAGTGCTTTATTTTTTGTCTTTAATTTTTTTGCTTCATTTTTATTTTACGGTAGTATCTTACTTTCAATACTCTCCAACCTTTTTTTGTTCCACTTTTATTTCTCTACATTTGAACTTTATCGCTCTCTTATAAATTTTTAAAACCGCCAATCTCAACAATCCTAACTAGAATAATCTCTTTAATTATGATCAATTATGACTTCAATTACGGTTAGTTGTGTATCAAGTTATTTTATCGTTTTATTGTTTATTACTTCCATAGTATCGAGTTATTTGTGTGCCTAGATATTTGTGTTTATGCTTTTAGGTTTCTTTGAACTAAAAAGCTAAATCAAAATTGTACTAGTTAATAAAATAAGCAATTTGACTCCTTAATTAATAAATATATATTTTCAGAATGAATCTAACACAATAATAGTATCTAAAGGTTTCAATATGATAAAGTAATTAAAAAACACATGTTTTAAGAAAAAAAAGTATATGAAACAAAAAGTCAAAATTTTTATCCAATCCAAATCTATTTTACACTTATTAAAATCTATTAATAATTATAATATTTTACACTTATTATAACTATCTATGTAAAATTTTCAATTATTATATGATAAGGATGTGATTATTTACGTTAAATTTTTGAAATCATTCGTCAAATTTAGTATCAGGGACTCAAATTGTCAAAAATAAAAAAATTTTATGAACTAATATTATGTCACAATTAAAAGTTTAGGCCACTAAAATATCATTATGTTCAAAGTTCTAGGACTAAAAGTTCTAATAACCCTTTCATTTTTTAGAGGAAAAAAATGGTCATTTTTTTAACACTTTTGAAAATGGGCCAATACTTCAAATTAGATTTTGCAAGAATGTAGTAAATAGCAAATTTTTGAAATTAAATTAAGCAAATAGCATATTTTAAAACTATTTAAAGTAAATAGCAGTTTACATGGTAAATGAATCATAAACTGCGTAAATGATTCATTTACGACAATTAGAAACATTTTTTCACGTAAATTTTCTTTTTACGTCGGTAAAAAGATTTTTTTCCCACATAAATGAGATTTTGATTTTTTTTACCAGTTGTTATTTTTTACCAGTGTAAATGAATCATTTATCGTGTAAATGATTCATTTATCATATAAATTGCTATTTACTTTTAAAAAAAATTAAAAACCTGTTATGTACTTAATCTAGCTTTAAAAATATACTATTTACTACAATTTTTCTTTATTTTTTTTATAAAAAAAACATATTAGCTACGAGAAAACAAGGCTTTTTTATTTAACTATTACCCCGAAAGTTCTCATGTTTGGAAAATTAATTCCATAAAAAATGATTAATCACTTAGAACTAGTTTAGAAGGTATACTTAATTCATAAATATTTTTGGAAATATAAATTTTTTATGAGAAACAAAAATTATAACATAATCAATTATTTGAATTTGAATATATAAAATAAATAGGTTCTTAAATTTCGAAATATGAAGTTTACTGTGCATCGCACATGGATAGTTAATAGGAGAGCAAAACTAGAAAATATGTCAATCAAAAAACTTATTTGTCAAATTCTGACAAGCTCAGGGGATAACCATGCAAAAATCCAGATCAAGAGGATTAAGCATATTTGGAATGTCATGTGTAAATCATGACAAAAATCCTCAAAAATTTAGCCATGCACTCAATTGAACCTGCTATGCAATGAATTAAAAATAAAAAGAGAGAATTATTTATAAATTTTGGTTTAGCTATTTGAACCAAATAATTTAATTCAAATTGTGCCTAAAAAATTAAATTAGTGTTTGTTTCAGACATAAAAATGGACCATTCAAACCATCAACTGTAATTTAAATAGTTCGTTTTGGACTTCATAATCTCCTTTAGATTCACAATCTTAATTGTCGACAACAATTTAAACATAATTGTTTTTTTTTGTTTTTTTTCTCTCTTTTTAATTTTGAGTTTAAAAATATCATAACTTTTTCATTTCAACTCTAATTGAGATTATTTTTTTTTATATGTTCATAAAGAAAAGAGAAACGAATCCTCATTCATATTACAATGAAGTTTTATAATATATGTTTCAAAACTTTAATGATACTTTTCAACGCTCTACTTAAACACAACTCGAATTTTATTCTCAATTCAAATTATAATTTATTTGTGTATCTAAATACCGATTCAAATAATAATTTAAACCACTACAATTTAGATTCTACAATTCAAAGTAAATCACTACAATTCGAACCACGAACCAATTAAGAGCTTAAATTTTTAGTTTAGGAAGTGATCATACACAAGGAAGTTCAGAAGGTAACCACGCACAAAAACAAAATAATAAAATAAAATAAATTAATGTGACCAATTTCGTCCAACAATTGAACGGGAGGAGGATTCTTTTAACTTTTAATAAATGATGAATAGAGTAAATATCACATTTCAAATTTAAAGGGCAAAGTAAGAAAGCAAAATGCTGAGACAATTTCAAATTAATTTTTAAAGAATTTACTGAAATGCTAGTCGAGTAGTTGGTAGGAAATTCTATTTAATTTTGAAATAGAAAAAAGTGCTTTAAAGATAGTGCTTGACTTTCCACCTAAAGAATTTATTATTGTCGTCTCGTGGTCCCTGCTTCGACGCTCAACAGTACTTGATTATTTGCATTTCTTTAAGAATTGAGATCCAAACAAAGGCCGTACAATCCGTATATAAATTTAGAAGTTGAACTCCACGATGGGTCTCCTCGCTTTCCTTCAATTTTCACTCAAATATTTCTTAGATGTTCTGGCTTGGTATGCATTTTCTCACCCGAAAAACAATACTAATTTGTTGCAGTTTGGAAAATTTTGTCAGGGTGATAAATGAAGTTCTTTATTTATTTTTTTCTTATATATACATACATATATATTATTTCTGCTGGTCGATATTAGTTTCATTTAATTCCTCGTATAGTAGTTGTGATTTTTTTTTTTTTTAATAACAGATAGTCAATTTGAACATTAGTGAAATTGAAGACGTATTTGTGTCCAGTTTTACGCACATAATTTCTTTTTCCTTTTTTGTTTCTGGTTTACATGCAGGCCTCTACTTGCCTTAGTTTTTCCTCTGTAAGCTTCTCTCTCTCTCTCTCTCTCTCTCTCTCCGTTTTTTTTTTTTTTTTGCTAAATTCTCTTTCTCTTTCCTTAGTACACAAGTTATCGTGTTTGAACTTTGGTAAAGTTCCACTTCCCTGTAACCCTTCTTTTTTTTTTTTTTTTTAGTACGTACGATCTTTTTTTACAAGTACAAATGTTATCTTCCCTATAAATTTCTATCTGGTGTCAAACACTCCAATCAGCACACGAAAATAGTTTCAAGGCTTTTAGTTTGCAGATTCGAGTTGAGACTTGAATTTATGTGATAATTTTTTATTGTAATAAAAAAATTAAACGTGATGATTTTTGAGATTTTTTACTGTAACAAAACTTAAATTTTAAACTCGAATCGATGAAATAACCGGGGTCTTAGTCATCATCACTAAAATGACCATGATGATGATGAATATAAAATACATATGCTTTTTTTTTTTGTTTCTTGTTTTTTTTGTTTTTTCCGCATGTTATATTTGCTTTCATGAGTTTAGAAATGGGGCTTCCTTGTATCTTAAAGGCTGTGTTATTGTAGTATTTTGGTGAGGAATTCTTATCCTCTTGTTTGATGATTATTTTCTTCAAGCAGATGTGCTTCTGTTAGGGCAATTGAGATCAATTCCTTTCCAGAAACACAAAAGTTGAATGCTTATTGGGTCATCCTCTCTTTGATTTTCTTCCTTGAGCATGCTTTAGGAAGGCTCCTCGAATGGTAATTTTTCGCTTTACTTTCCAAAAACATTTGAATGTCACATGGCAATGGGACTAGTTGAAGGATTTATGTGAATAAGGATCGAAAGTTATTTGTTCTTCTTATGTATGTTGCTTATTAGTACTCTTCCTCTTAGTTCCAAGTAAGTACAAAGGAAATTGAAGAAATATTGGAGTCCTTAACTAGAAGAAAATTGAATTTCATTCATGGTATGATTATTATGCGTAGCTAATCATCATCAAAGAGTTACGAGTGCCAAGGAAATAGCAAGAGTTAGTTTGATTGAAGCATTTCTACAATATTAATTGTTGCGTTCTAGAGATTAATAGACAATTCTTGGAACTATTTTAAGCAATATGCAAGCCTTTTAAACTGAGGCACGAGATGCACGTTTTTATTTTCTTTTTTTTTTTTTTTTCAAAGTGAATAAGTTATTTGTCATGGTACTTATGAATGCAAGGTTTCTCTGAATCTTATCGTGATCACTGCTCAATGAATTTCTAAATAATTGAAATCATATACTTGCTAATTCCGGGTCTCTGAAATATGTTCTTTAAAATTTCAATGTGCATGTTCTTACAAGGAAAAACAGAATGACGTGCTTGCCAATTTCAGGTTTCCGTTTTGGGCATACATAAAGCTAATGGTTGTTTGCTGCCTAGTGATACCTAACTTTGATGGTGCTTTTTATGTCTATAAACACCTTGTTTGGCCATGCATCTTCATCAAACCCCGAGATCTCATCAACGGGTTCAACAAAAGAAAAGAGTCGCCGGTCGTGAGCGAAAAGATTCTAGCTGAGATGGAGACGTATGTAAGAGAGAACGGACTCGAAGCTCTGGAGAAACTAATTTCTCCCGAGGTAAAAACATATTTTTTCTGACATGGAAAGAACTGAATGTAAATGCAATATTTATGATGTTGATACTTCATTTGTCCTATTGAGGATCTAAACTTACCATGTTTTTCTTATTTTAGTCAAACTCCAGCAGTTCTAATGTTGCAGAAAGAGAAATAAAAGCTGTGAAGGTCATAAAGAAGAAGGAAGTTGCTTCAGTTAAGCAAGTAATGTTCAAAGTTTTCTCTGATGGAAAAAAAAAAAAAAAAGAAAAGAAAAATTGAGACCAGAAAGAAAATCAGTTCTTAATATGAAAGTGATAGAAATCAAGCCGTTTTGTTCTGTGAGGGGTACGTGTGTACAACAACAGAATATGTTATGGTTCATGTACGAAACTGGGAAAAATAGCATATAGATAAAGCTGAACACTTAAATTCTTACCCTTTTCTTCTGAAATTTAGTTCACTCTTAAAGCTACAAACAACTTTAGGTTTAAAATCACAGTTTTCAACTTATGTGAAATATTTTCTAAATTTTCTCGGTTACAATAATAATTTTCAAGGTTCATAGAGCATACAGAGCTCAGTGTAAAACTTGTAATTTATAAATTAAGAAGCCCAATGGGTCATATAGTTGCTTAACTAATGCTTCCATTGAATTTCTTTTTCTTTTTTCCTCCTGTGAGATTTACTTATGCTCGTAAGAAAAAGGGCGGGAAGAGGCCTTTGGCGGGTTCTGTTGCGGATCAGGTAGCCGAGTTGGTTGAGGGGACCCCGGCCACTCTGGAGGATGACTGGGTTGCTAAGGTGGCAGAGGATGCAAAAGGGATTGGAAGCTGTGATGAGGCAGGGAAGGAGGGTGACGTTGTAACGGCTTGATAGCGGTCGGGATTGGGGTCAGTTAGTTGGTTAGGGGGCTAGTAAATAAAACGTGGAGGAGGACTGAGAGGGTAGTCATGTTATGGTATTGAGAATCTAGTCGAGCTTTGCTCTAGGGAGTGCAAGGGTCACTCGAATACCCCATATCCTTGTGTTCCTTTGATTTTCAATCCAATATATCAGTAAAAGTTTCCGTTGCTCACTCAATTTCTTTTACTATTTTTTCCGTGTTGTGTTGCAATTTCTTTTTACTTTCTAACTTGCTATCACTTGTCTCCCTCCCACGTTGTTCTTTTAAGTTCCTGCTCATTGCCTTTCCTCATTGTTCCATCAAATAAAATGTCTAGAAAACTAATACTTTGTTTTGCTATTTTTTGATGTCATGTCCTTGCTTACTGTATGCTTTACTCGTTTTCCTTCCTATGTACTTTCAGGTAAGCCAAACCGAGTCTGATCTCATACATTCTGAGAACATAAATTTTGCACCCGTAGAGACCACTACTTCAAGTGAAGTCCAGGAGTGGAACTGCGCTATATGTAATGTCACAACTCAAAGTGAGAGAAACAAGATTTCCCACCTTAAGGCGAAGAAACACAAGGCTGCATACCAGGCACTGAAAGTAAACGGCGTGAAATCTTTGCTCGAGATTGTCCCAGCTCCGATTCCGAAGAAATCAAGACAGCCGGTGAAGGATCCGGGAAATAGTGACGTAGTAAAACAGAGGAGAACAGCAAGTGATCAGCTCAAGACTGAAGAAAGCAAAGAGGAGGCAGAAAAGAGCGGTTCCAAGCGGCGCAGACGTCGTAGTGGAAAGAAAAACAAAGCAAGCGTGGAACAAATGTAGAAATGGAAGGTCTAGAAAATGAGAACCTAAATAAAGAAACTGAAAGGTATTCAAGTGCGATATGACCTCTTTTGATGTCTAATCATTCATCTGTACCACTTTTTACATTTATTTTACCGATTTGAGTTTTTAATTCTAATATTGCTACAGTTATAAACTCTCATAAAAAGTCACATCTAATCTTTTCAATTAAAAAGCTATCGCATAAAGTCTTATTTCAGCTCCAATTGAAAACTCGAATCAACAAATTAAACGAGACATAAAATTAAACAAATTATTTATATTTATTTAACTTTCAACTTTTAAAAGTAATATTTCTCTAATTGATCCGGATGCAGTTAACGTGGAATCCCATATCATATGAGCAGAATGCACTTGGCTCAAGTAGTCAAAGTTCTGTTATCAGCTAGAGTTATAGGTGCAAGTCTTGGACTGGTAATATTTAAGATGGATGCTGTATATTACTTATTTGGGAGTATTTTTGCCTTTTCTATGAACATTTAATCTCTTTTTTCTTAACTACCTCTGAACCTTTGTTTTTATTCTATGGAAGAAAAATACCAAACAAGCAGCAGGCTTATTGATTTCTGATATGAGCAAGGAGGCCTTTCTAGTTTCTCCTGATTATTAATTAAATTTTTTGACTGATCATTTTCTTGCTTGAACATAAAAGTCATTTAAGGAGGCCTTTCTATGCTACAATACGTTTCGCATAACTTTCTATGCTACAACGTTAACATATATGTTTTGATATCCATCCAGTAATTTTCTTGACTAAACATTCGCTTCATCTGGAATAATGTACAGAGATAATGGCAAAATGCCTTTTTTTTTTTTTTGGGGAAAGATCATTCTAGGGTGGAAACTAACTATGCCTTCTGAGAAGTTGGCATTGCTAGGTTTACGCCACTGCCACCGGGTAAATCCTTCCACTGCTGAGTTACTGTTTTGATCTGTGTAAAGAAGTTGACTCCTGCTTTTCCTGCAGAAGATAAACCAACATAAACTGTTGGAATCAAAATAATTTCATCCTAAGAAACGAGCACTATACAACTATATCAGCCAGAAGGGAAAAAAATATGCCACTGCCTTGAAAATGTCTCAAGAAGTTTCTGAATGATTTTGTTTACCATAGAAGTTCAGATCTCCGGCAAAAGATGCCTTGGAACCGGTAAATGAGAAAAAGGGCAAGGGAACTGGAATAGGAACATTAATGCCGACCTGAGTACCCAAACATGAGTTAAGAGTGAGTTAAAGTTGTAATAAAAACAGATATGAGCATAAGTAGCGTGTTCGTAAAGCTCCTTGTCAGGTCCAAATCGGCCATTTTATTTCATTCCAAAATTGCCAAGGGCAACAGGGAAAAGCGGAAGTACAAATTATCCATGTCGAAACGATTTTTTACCTGCCCAGCCTCAATCTCTGTCTGAAATTTCCTTGCAGTGACACCAGATGTGGTGAATATAGAAGCTCCGTTCCCGTATCTATCCACAAATGTAACTTAAGTAGACCGCATTTGTGGTTACAATAGAAGAATCAAATTTTAGGTATAAGAGAAGCTAGAAAGGAAGTACTTGTTTTCGTTAACGATCTTTATGGCCTCTTCTAAGCTGTCAGCCTGACATAAAAAAATAACAGATGAGTAAGTTCCAATAAGCTACAAGAAACGTGATTAGCATAAAGCGATGGAAGAGAGTAGTGAACAGACATCTAAGCAAAGAAGAACAGGCCCAAAAATCTCCTCCTGCAGAAACAAGATAGACAATGGAATAATTTTTTCCGAAATCCTCAGTCCATTAAAGTAACTTGTGCAAAATTACAGAAATCAGCTTTGACTGTGAACAACACTGGAGGTCTAAGTACAAGGAAAGTTGTACTACATTATGAAGTGAAATTTCACCATTTGAGTTCTATATGGGCCACAGATTATTTTCCTGAATAAATTGAAAAGAAACAGCAGAGATAATACCTTGTAGCACTCCATGTCTGCCGTGACATTTGATAAGATAGTGGGACCAATAAAATTTCCTTGCTCATAGCCCCGGACCTATTTGTCAGCCATAAATTAATTCGTTAGTAGTGATGTTTCCCTTGAAAAGCTGAAAGTCGAATACTATAACCATGAAAGGATCCATCGTCAAAGAAAAGAACCATGCATTGAACGCTTATTTAAAAGAAAAAGGAGGAGGATGGGAAAAAGTCATGGACGACAACAACAACATCATTTTTCAAGAGTCGAACAATATAAACATGAAAGGATCCATCGTCAAAGAAAAGACCCATGCATTGAACGCTTATTTAAAAGAAAAAAGAGGATGAGAAAAAGTCATGGACAACAACAAGAAGAAAAGACCCATGCATTAAATGCTTATTTAAAAGAAAAAGGAGGATGAGAAAAATTCATGGACGATGACGACGACGACCACAATAACAACGACAACAACCTTGTTATAAAACTGAAATATGTGAAACTAGCAGAAAATTTTAAAACTACAGTACTATTCATTATTATTTAAATCTACTATGCAGCTACTCTTTGCATAGTAATCCACTATTCGATCAAGTGACAATATAGTAGATTATTTTATAAAAGCACTTCCCATTACAATATTCATAAATCTTATTCACAATATCGGAATGCGTCGTTTGCGGGATTTATGAAGAACTATTTATGTCAACTTGAGGGGAACTTTACGTGGGTGTAGTCTGTACTCTTTTTCTACGTGGCTGTAGTCTGTACTCTTTTTCCCTTACTGTGGTTTTGTCCCACTAGATTTTTCTAGTGGGTGTATTTTTTTTTTTCCATTTGCTAGGGTTTTTGTCCATTGGGGATTTTCCTAGCAAGGTTTTTAATGAGGCATCATGAATGATACACATCTAAGAGGGAGTATTGTGAATCAAGTATTTGTCCACACTCAAACAGTACGTGGTCACTGCACAAATAGTAACCATGAACAGTAGAAAGTCAAATAACGTGTTTGGCATTGTGCGAACTGTTACTGTAAACAGTAACGGTCAAATAAGGCGTTCAATACTTTGCAAATAATGACTGCAAGATATTTGATGGTAGAAGGAGATTCATATCTAACATATATTCCTAGTCTTCTTTGAGGTTCCTGAAGAATAATGAAAGAATTTTTATTATGAACGAATGAATAATTACAAGCTATTCTACACTCTATTTATAGATACTTTCTGTTACATAAAATCAAGAAAGAATCCAAAATAGATCAGCCCCTTAGGACTCAGTAATCTTCCCTGATTTCCTATACTAGAAGATCTCCTAAAAATCCTCCTATGATATCTCATCCGAGATTTCCTACACTCCCCCTCAAACTGGTGAATATAGGTCCACCATTCCAAGCTTACTAATGTTCTCATGGAACATATTATTACATAACCCTTTTGTCATCACATCTGCTAGCTGATGCCCCGTAGGAACATATGGCGTACAAATTAGACCACTATCTAACTTCTCTTTAATGAAATGTCTGTCTATCTCGATGTGCTTCGTCCAGTCATGTTGTACTGGGTTGTGAGCAATGCTTATAGCTGACTTGTTATCATAATATAGTCTCATAGGTCTGCTCCATTGAATCTTCAGGTCTTCTAGAATAATCTTGACCCACATTAATTCACATACTCCTGCTGCCATAGCTCTAAACTCTGCTTCGGCACTTGACCTTGCTACCACGCTCTGTTTCTTGCTTCTCTAGGAAATTAAGTTCCCTCCAAGGAACGTGCAATAGCCCGTAGTTGATCGCCTATCAACTGGTGATCCTGCAAAGTCAGCATCCATGTATACTACCAGGTCAATATTTGACGCTTTCTTGAATAGGACTCCTTTGCCAGGATGTGCTTTTAAGTAATGAAGAACTCAATAGACTGCATGTAGATGAACTTCTCTAGGATCATGCATAAACTGACTAATGACACTAACCAAATAGGCTATATCTGGCCGAGCACGAGCAAGGTAAATGAATGAGTTTGCCAACAAGCCTTTGATACACTTCTCTATCCATTGCCTTATCTCCAAGAGCTTCACCCAATCTGTGGTTCTGTTCAATAGGAGTTCCAACCGGTTTGCTAGCCATCAATCCGGTCTCCTTAAATAGATCTGTGACATATTTTTGTTGAGAGATAAACATTCCCTGTCTAAATCGAGCTACTTCAATTCCAAGGAAGTACTTTAGCCTCCCTAGATCTTTTATTTCGAATTCCTTGGCTAGAACCTCCTTTAAGACTTTCTTTTCTACCTCATCATTCCCTGTCACTATAATGTCATCAACATACGCTATTAATATCATGACTCCCCCTGAGGCCGAATGCTTGATGACGAGTGTATGATCACCTTGACTTTGTTTGTATTCATTGGCTATCATCACCTTGGCAAACCGTCCAAACCACGCCTGAGGTGATTGTTTTAACCCATATAATGCCCTTTTTAACCGGCAAACTTTGTGATTATCAACTCCACTAAACCCTGGTGGAATACTCATATAAATCTCCTCTACTAGCTCTCCATGGAGGAAGGCATTCTTCACATCATACTGCTGTAATTCCCAATCAAAGTTGACAGCCAAGGACAGCAAGATTCTTACGATGTTCATCTTTGCTACTGGTGCAAATGTTTCTTGGTAGTCCACCTCATACGTTTGAGTATATCCCTTTGCAACCAGCCTTGCCTTATAGTGTTCTAGAGATCCATCTGCCCTAAACTTTACTGCAAACACCCACTTACAGCCTACTGGTTTCTTACCCTTAGGTAAATCAACCAACTCCTAAGTTTCATTCTTTTGTAATGCATCCATTTCAGCCTCCATAGCAAGTCTCCATTCTTTCTTTGATAATGCTTCAGATAATGAGTTAGGAATAGGAATTGTGTTTAGGGTCGAAAGGAAACTTTGGTGGCTTGGAGAGAATTTCTGAAAAGTCACAAAATGAGATAAGGGATATAGAGGCCTTTTTGTGCATTCTCGGGTTTGTTTTCTCACAGCTATAGGCAGATTAAGATCAAGGTCACTGTTGGAAGGAGAATCTATTGGTGATATATTTAAATTTGGTTCACAGATTGTTCCCGCATTTCCAGGAGTCAGTTCAGTGAATTGTCCTTGCCTTGAAGTCATAATAGGATCTCTTTTCCTTATATACACCTGATCAAACCAGAAATGATCAAATATTTTTTCATCTGCTTGGTTTTTTTGTGGCTGTTTAGGCTGTGATTTGGGTGACTCGGGTGATCTAGTTTGTGCTCTGGGTGACTCAGTTGAGGATGTTTCTAGTAATGGTGACTCGGGTGAGAGAAATTCCAGTGGTGGCAGACTTGACTCCTTATCTTCAAGTATAGGCAACTCCCCCTGAAGATAAAGAGTAGAGAAATATAGCTTATACTCAACAAACATGACATCGGCTGAGATATAGAGTTTCTTAGTGGGAGGATGGTAGCATTTATAACCCTTTTGAGTAGATGAGTACCCCACAAAGATACACTTAATAGCTCTAGGATCAAGTTTCCCTCTGTTATGGCCATGAATATGAACAAATGAAGTGCACCCGAATACCCGAGGAGTAAGGTTGAAGGACTTTTGAGTGTCAGGGTAGAATTGAGACAAAGTCTCCAGTGGACTCTTAAGCCCCAAGACTCTGGAAGGAATTCTGTTTATAACATAGGCTGACGTGAGTACAGCTTACATTTTGTTGGAATAATAGGGCTCTAGTACACTCGAGAAGATGTCGGTTTTTTCTCTCTGCCCCTCCATTTTGTTGTGGAGTGGTAATGCAAGATGATTCATGTATAATTCCCTCTTTTTGAAAATATGGAGTCAAAGTTTGGTTGAAGTAATCACGGGCATTATCGGAGCAAATATTTTTTATTTTTGTGCCAAACTGGTTTTGGATCATTGCATAAAAGGTGGGAAAAATATGGCTCACATCAAATTTGTTTATGGCTCACATCAGATTTGTTTTTGAGCAAATATATCCAGGAGACCCTCGTACAATCATCAATGAAACTCACAAACCACCTATACCCAGAGACACTTGGAATGGTGGAAAAAGAAGGGAAATGAAGATTTATTGTTACTGATGGGAAAAGGTACACGAGTGTGTTTTGCATACTCACAAATATCACAATGAAAGGATTGAACATCCAAAACCCTTGAACAAGGTAGGAAACATTATTTTCAATGCTGAAAAAGACACATGACCTAGACGCCTATGATGTAACCAAATAACATCTTTATTGGAAGAAAACAATGAGAGCACGACTGGTTTTTTCAATTCCGGTTGACTTGATACATTAAAGTAATAGAGTCCATTATGCTCCTTAGCAAGTCCAATCCTCTTCCCCGACCCCGGGTCCTGAAATTCACAAGAAGAAGCATTGAATATAACACAACTAATTAGATCTCGGGTAAGTTTTTGTATGGAAACCAAATTTGTTGAAAGTTGGGGAACATGGAGAACATTTTGAAGTACTAATTCTGGGGTGATTTGAATATCTCCTACTCCTGCCACTGTGGTTGCAGAACCATCAGCAACTATAATTTTCCGGTTGCTCGGACAAGGTGTATAGGTTTTAAATAGGCTAGAGGTATGAGTCATGTGGTCGGTGGCACTAGAATCAAGGATCCAAGCATTCCTAAACTCATTACCTAAAGTATTTAATCCAAGAGAGATTAGAGTCTCACCTTGAAAGTGTCAATGAACACATACCCTGAGTTGATGCCTGCGAACTGGATTTTTGTCCCTGATTTTCCACTTTTCCTACCAGGCCCTTGAGTTTTTCAATTTCCTCCATACTAAATCCTCCAAAGCTGTGGGTTGAATCCTGAGTGGACATATGAGCTTGTCTGTAGCCTGATGCTGATTGTCCTCCTCTCTGTCCCCATTCACGGCTGTTTGTGGAGGGGTTCCCATGCAATTTCCAGCATCGCTCATTGCTATGTCGTGGTTTCTTACAGTATGTGCACCACATCTCATCACGATCCTTGTGAGCATTTGGTCGGCTAGGCTTGTCTACAGTAGTACCATCAAGCATTAGCCCTT